AGATAAGCTTATCTAGTAGTTAGTAAAGGAAAGTTTAAACCATGAGGAAAAACCTGATTTTATGGAATGTTTTTTTTGTGGTGTTTGATGTAACGTCCATATGTTTCATAACTATAATCATTTTTCCATTCAGACTTGTAGAGGTTTTTTTTTTTTTTTTTTTTTTTGTTTTTTCTTCAGTCCCCTGTAGGTTACCACGGTAACTGCTGTCCTCTCAGATGATATGTCGACCTGAAACCTCCTCAGTCGGGACTTTCAAGATGTTATCAGTTACCAGCATTTATAATAACTCTGCAGAGCTTTTTTTTTTTAGATGTTTGCAGCTCAGCAGCCTGGTTCAACATCTGCCCCATATCCCACAGCTTACTGGGAGGAACGTTCTGGAATGTTCTCATTGGTTGATTGTCCCGTCATTATCTATATGTGTCATGAAAAACCAACGCAGCGTTCTGTAGAGATCCAGAAATATCTGCTTCTGCGGTGCATAGCAGATCTGTCCTGAGTTTCAGACGGATGCTTATTGAAGGACTTTCATTTCTAAAACTCTCGCAATGAAAAATGCAATCCAGATGCCATTATTAGTGTTTGATACATTCACAGTGGTTTCTCCCAGCCATCGCATCTGCTGATGAGCCCTTCGTGAAGATAAAAATCTCTGCCTGTTTTGGTTAGAAATTTATTTGTCCTTTATTTCTATCAGCAATGCTCCTGATCCACCATCATGCAAAATCTATAGTAGCCATTTTTAGAAGAACAAAAAACATCAAAAAGACTAATGGTGACTTCCTTATTTTAGGAGTGTGTCGTTTGAATTTATTATAAATAAGTTTGGATAACATAGTTCTAACTCCTATGATGAAATTATCAATCTTGTGGATAAAAACAGTTCAATGCAACAAGATTGGCTGATTGCTCCTGTGTGACAGTCGGTAATCTGGACTATTCTACAGAATATGAATACTAAAACCGTCACTAATAGTTGAAGGAAAAGTGCTCTGGATCAGAAAATATCACTATCAGCAAAAATATAAAGTCAGACATCAGGATGGGAACCTAGGACTCCTGGATCAGTGTGACAGGCGATGAAGTGATGAAGCTGAGAGTATAGACAAAGCCCAGACCGAACTTTATTTTATGCTACAACAGAACGAACCAGCAATGTAATAAATGTCAAGTTGTTGCGAACACATCCTCGTTTGCATTTATTCTCCATCCATTAGCTACCAAAAATACTCGACTCTTCTCCTCGATGGATCATTTTCAACAAATATTCCAGGCACATAAATGACCATGTGGTGTATTTCTGCAGATGGCAGTAGGACCGCAGGGAGATAGACTGTTTCACATATTATCTCTCATGTCATATTGTCAGGATGTAATGTCAGTTTTAACAAATATGTAAAAAAAAAAAAAAAAAGTTACCTATTTAATTTTTAATAGTTTTTGCAAGATACTGTGAGTAAGACAAGCTTGAAATGATACTGAACTTTTTCTCTGAAATTGTCAACTTTATATCAAAGGATCAGTTTCACTGTGGCAAACAAATCAGATCCGCAAATATCTATCAGATAATATCTAACAGTTACTGATGGTATCTTGTAATCAGGTAATTAATATTCCTAAAGAAAAAATGTTATTATGATTATGTCTTATTTCCAGTGACTGTGGTTCTGATTCCAGTGTAGTTCAGTTTACTCCCATGAACAGTGCCGGTTTCTGACATGGGCGACATGAGCAACCGCCCAGGGCATCTTGTGGGGGGCGGCATGAGCGCCCCACAAGATGCACCCCCACCCTCTGCTCTTAATGTAACACCCGCAAGGTATTACATTAAATATCTCAAGAAACCCCAACAATCCGTTCCCCGTTCACTCGTGACCCCACCCACAGCAGGCGGTTACAAATGTCCCGAGTTCTCTGAACCAAAACTTGACAGGTGTGGTCAAGAATGACTCTCGTTAAAGTCGAAATGTTTTATTAAGTAGCTGTTGCAGGCCACAACTCAGACAGAGCTTTTACAATTCTCTGTATGAAACGCATAACTATAGAAATGCTACTGGAACAATCTAAATTCAGAATATGCTACACTGTGGTAGAACAGAATGAAAATCCAGGCTGGCCGTTAGCAACACATTCAGTCTCAAGTTGTTTCAAATGGGTTCATGTTTCCGTTTGTTCT